CCCCCCCCCCCTGGGACTCAACGTGTTAAACGTTTAACTTTATGGGAATTTTACTCGCTACTTTGGATTAGACTTTGTAATAAGAAATATTCCAAAATTCACGAGTGACACTGGCACGTGGCACTGGCACAGTATTTGACTTACAGTGCTGACGTACCGTATTCTTTCCGCTATCATCGCCACGAAGGTAGGCAATCAATTTGACTCCATTAGCTATTCTTTCCTGCTGGACCGGTCCCCGCGACCTGAGTGACTGTAGCCTGTGTGAAGTGACTCCAGCTGGCTGAGTAGGATGGGCTGCCTACGTACCCGGCGAGACGAACTGCTTTGGATGAGAGTGTGGCACTGCACGCACGAGCTGGGTGCGCCCTTTACCCCACCATGCCGACAAGAATAAGGAAAGAATGGCTGCACATGGAAGCACAAGTGTGTGGATTTCACAGGAAAATTGACACTTTTACACCACTAAGTGTTAAAATAGCCATTCACACAGTTTAGTTTGCGACATTCACACACTTCGTTTGCAGCGTGTTCTTTTGAAAACGCGTACCGCCCGGGACACCGGCATTCGTCATCTTTACTCTGATTGTTGGTCTGCAAAACTGAAAACAGCTCTGTAATGTAAAGGAACTAGCTCGTTCCCAGTCCAGCCAATAAAATTCTACGGATGAGGTGTGGTCCTCTTTTTCGTGTTTGGTTAATTTTCGACGAGCGTGATCGCTGTCAATCTATAGTACAAATAATTTAAACGGTAAAGATAATCAGTGGCTGGTATTGGAACCGCCAACCACACACTCTCTAATTTAAGTTTCTCGGCCCTCAGTGGCAGAAAGACATTATTGCATCTTGACATGTCAGCGCGGACGTCAATCCCCGGAACCATCTGATCGATATGGTGTCCACGGGACCTGCACGGGTTGCACCGCCTGCACAGCCTGCACGTCCTGGCCTAACCCACTTCCTGCCGAGACCAACAGCATTGGCCGATTGAATAACCGGTCAGGAGTGTGGAAGGGAGGGGCGCGGGTAAGGCCGTGCCCGCCGCGTCCTTGAACTTGACAGCAGAGTCGGTCCGGTGCCGCCCCATGCGCAGCGAGGAGGACCAGTACCAGTAAGTGAGTCACTGCTGTGCGGTGTTTGCTCTCATGTGACATATGTTGTTTTGTTTTTTGTTTTTGTTTTTTTGTTGTATTTTTATTGCTTTTTTTGCGCATCGCATAGTTTAGGTACATTCTTTGTTGACCTTACTGTAATTTTGCTTTTGAAATTAAAAATTTTTCTCGCTGGATCACGTAAATTGCCGCCAACACGAGTCACATTCAGCAGCTTTGTATGCAAAGCGAGTAGTGGCATATTGACTGTAAAACAAACGTCAGTTTTCTTCTTGCTTCGATTCTATCTCTTTCTGGCAGGTAATGGCGAGGCATTTTTGTGGGCCTGCGCATCGGCTTGGTTGGCACGGTTGTCGCGCCGGCCCGGCCCCGGCTCATCACCGCGACACATTACCATACGGGGCAGAAGAGCGCGGGGACCCATCGCTTTTATTGCGGGTATATGGTCGGCTCACCACGTGCGCGTCAGGTGCCTGTGGCGAGCCATCAGTTTGTATTTATGTACAGTCTTTCATTGTAAAAGTTTATTATTCCACGCCATAATTAAGCCTATCGTGTTAGACTATAAATAACTTAAATTTAAAATGTTTACAATTAAAGTAGTGAAGGCAAAGTTTTCGCCAAATGACATCAAGTCAAACTTAAATATGTACTCCAAAAAGATTCATTTAATGTTTTGAAACATTGAACTTCAATTATTAGTGTGGATACAGAGTTCACGACACACAAGCGTGACTTTCACGCCAGGCGTGATTTTCACGCTTCGTAAGCTTCTCGCAGCCAATCAGGGATCGACTTTCATCACGCCGGGCGTGAAAATCACGCTTTGCGTGAGAATCACGCTTGCTTTTAGGGAACTCTGAATCCACCTTTAGTACTGGTTGTGAAATTTCTTAGTATAACATCACAGATAAATAATACTTCTCCTTACATTATAAAGAAAGCGAAAGTGTAAAAAATGTCCCATACTTTTCGAAAGTTTCTATAGTTTTCCGTTTTTCACATTTTTGTTTTGAAAAATTTGAGGTGATTTTGAAGTGAAAAGTTAAATCCACATATCGAGAAAAACAACATTTTTGTACTGATTTTTAAAGTAAGAGCAGTGGCCCGCTTCATAACAAAACAGAATAGTTTAACCACTATCTACGTCGTCAATTACACTTTCTCAGTCATGCACGTCACCCGAGGCAACACAATATTGACATCCAAGGAGAGTCATGCACATTTCTGTGCAAGTTTGTTTAAACTTCTCACAGCCGTTCTCAACCTCTCGAAATACGCCACAGCCTAGCACCCGCATTTTAGACCCGCGTCCGCGTGGTCCAGCACAATATGCGTGAAGTATGTTTTTTTTCTTTTTTTAATTCTAGTTTAACGGGAAAATATTGTCGTACGGCACTGCATCTACGATCTGTTGGATGATTTGGCTGATGACCTGCCCAATGGAGTCTGCTAGGGAGGGCCCGAGTTCCTTGGTCACCTCTTTCCAGTTCTCGTTGAGGAACTGGTTCATGTTGTCCGCTGAGGAAAAGACAATAGCCTTGTAAAGCAAGCAAGAGAGCAACTGATAGTCGGTCACACAAGAACGACCGATCTGACAACATCACGAACGCGTTTCCACATAATCTTCTTCAAAGAGAGAAAAACATTAAAAAAGGAAATGAATGAAAGGCACATTGGCGGAAATGGCCCTGGACAAGTAGTCTTTGCAGCTCCTGCCGACGTCAGCCAGACGAGGTCGACACCGCCGGGGCTGGGATGGCTTAGCCGTGAGGCACTCTCTCGACCAGGGGAGCAGGGGTGCCATCGACCCTTGAGCTAATAGCACAACTCACCTAATAATCTGTCTCCATTGAAGAGGTTCTTGAGGTCAAAGTAGGCGCGCCCGACCTCGAACTTGACTTTGCTCTCAGTCAGGCTTACGTGATCCTTGCCGCCTTTCTTCTTGGGGACTAGTTCGTAATCGAAGCCGAATGTTACAACTAGGTTCGCTGAAAATAAAATTCGATTAATTAGAATAATATTTTAAATAGTGTCTAAGTGGTAGTGGCGAAAGTTGAGTGGGTCTGGATTAAGTCAGAAAGCGGGCCTCTGCTCAACTTACTGACGGTCACGTTGGCCGGTCCCTTGCCGGTGATGGGCAGCACCAGCACCCTGCCAGAGATCTCGTAGTCACCCAGGATGTGGAACACGTCCCAGAAGAGGTCAAACTCGATGTGCTTCTTTTCTAGGTCAAATTTAGTTGACCTTATGTCAACATCACCCAGACCGTGGATTTGGGCCTCCTTGAAGGTCAGTTTAATGCCCACTGAGCTGCTCCCGCTGTCGACGCCGAAGTTGTACAACGTAAGTGGGTTCAGGTTAGGGATCTTGTATTTTCTATCACCTGAAAACAGGAGTAAGCAGAATGACCAAACCGGTGTCTACTATCATGTTAAATCTATATCTGAATTTTATTCTGTACTGACCGTTGACGAATCTGGCGACTGCTTCCTTGCCGTTCTTGAGCCCACACTCGTTAAGCTTGGGGTCGTTTCTTTTGCATGCCTTGATGTACGGAGCTGAAACAAGCACATCCACAGTTACAATAAAAGAAATGAAGAGATTCTGAGGACTTCAGAACTGCCCACAAAACGGTGAATGAACCCCGTCATATTTTGAAGGAGAAAACAACTTAACACATAACTACAGAAAGATTTGTCGTAAATAAAGTTCTGAACGGAATGATGCATGGGATCATTTTAATTACTTTTCAATAATTGCGGCCCAATGCTGGGTTGCCCAATAAACACAAAAACTCAAAAAGTCATTTGGAGTCATTTGCAAGTTTTTCATTCATGCTGAGCGATTTTCGACCAATTTTTTGATTAACTTGTCTCGGTGTTCGGCTCACCACTCACCGTACCCTTCAAAAACTGTAAATGACACCAAACCACTAGGACTAGTTTTTCGTGTTCTGTGTTGAGCATGGCATTAAGAACAAAGATAGTATAGTGCAATGTCAAGGTTGGCCGTATAGTACTTAAGCTATCATTGCAAGTCGCTTCATTAGTATTTATTATACCGACCAGTCACTATTTTGATTGCATACATTTCTATGACCACCAAGCAACTTACTTTCTTTATCCCTTGAAATTGTTTTAAAAAACGAAAACACTTAAAAAAATCAATTGATTTTGTTGAGTTAATTTCCAGTTAGCTGGTGACCACGTTTTTAATAAAGTTTAAGCGTAAATCTATCAATGTAAACATTACACAAAAACGTCTGACTGTATGCGCTTGCAACACAAACCCTAGTAACATGAAATCGTCCATTAACTGTCGGTATATGTCTGACATTTAACCGTCACCCGATGAACAGTTTCATTTTACTACGCTGTTTGTTCACTATAGCTAACACCCGAAATTCGCCACAGAAAATATTATCAGAATACATGAAACACTACTTACGGAGCTTTAAAGCGTCTGCGAAACTCATCACTGCGATGAGGGCGAATGTCACAAACATCAAGTAGCGCGCCATGATGGCACAGGCACACACACGCACACACACAAACACGCGCGCGCGCGAACAAACGAATAATCAATAAACGCACAGAATCTGCGATCCGCACAGAACGCGACGCGGCCAAAGAGTGTTGCTCCGTGCGGCTGTTGTCGCCGTATATATAGGCGCGAGCGCCCCGAGCCGTCCCGTTGTGCGCCCGGCCGCCCCCGGCCCCCGACCTCCTCTCATCCGTTCCATCCGCGGGACGTCCGACTGGGGTGCACTTAACCATGGCTCATTCATCGCTCAACCATGGCCTGACCAGAGGGATTCGAATAGCCCGGAGTGGTCTTTAGTTGGTTGAGACAACATTGACGGGGAGTGTCCATAGCAGCTACGTGAGTTAAATTGCACGGCACTCGGTCAGAAAATCTCTGGGCACATTTAAACCAAGCCCAGAGATTTTCTTGAGTAAATCCAAAATTATTTTATTCAAAACAAAATGTGAATAACAAATAAACAAATATTTCTTCGGAATATTTCCTAATCTTGGCATGCTTTGTTTAAATCAGCTTGAAACAATTAGTAAGCATTTTTCTGGTTACACGGAAGGTTTAACGTATGATTTTTGGAGGGAAAAGGGAAAACTTTGAGTTTTTCCTCAAATATGGGAGTTCTATAAAGTTTTCTCTTTTTCCTCCAAAAATCAGGCCGTCCTTTTACCGTGTATGATTTACAGTGTATTCGCAGGCAGGGCCTAACAAAACTGAAGTGTTCCCAACTATCCGAGCTGGTGTACGAGTTTCACGAGCATCCGCGAGTGTATTTTCCGATGTCTCGTGTACAATGAACTAAACAGCAGACCCCTCAATCACAACCACAAGCTGTACATCCAGCAATGATTTCCTTTTCAGAAACCTGTTTTACAGGAAAGCACAAACAAATCTAAGTGTCTTTTTATTAAATGTTACGTTTGTTTTTTAGTTTCAGTTTTAGTCTCTGCTGATTAACATTATGGCGTTCAACGTTCAGAAGTCCTCCGAGCTTAAAATGTAGAGCGACTGAACCGGTTTCGGATCAGGCCCTTATTCGGATCAACTGTCAGTAGTTTCATTGGAGAACTAAAATTTGGGTACCTCAATTTTTTTGCTATAAGAACAGACCTGCCTTCTGTCTTTTAAATCGCTAACAATAAGCTGGGTGCGTAGAGTGGACTACAGGCCGAGTATGAACTAAAAGAAGTAGGTTTTAAAGGTTGTGAGAATCTTGAAAAATTGACATTTTTTCAAACTGAGATATGAGCGTGATAGCACTTCCCATGTGTCGGACCTTTGTGAAAACATTATTTTAGGGTACTCAGAGTATCCTTTCATGGTGTCGAATGATTTTGAACAGGTCTATGAACGATTTGGCTGTGAATGTATTTTCGCTGATCCGAATTAGGTTCACAAGTCCTATTTCGTACCAAAAACACGTCTTTCGGCCAACTGTCATATCTCCAAAACGGGTGCAGCGACAACCCTCGAAAAAAATGCGAATTGTAAAGGAAGAAGTCGACTATCATTACCACTAGTCGTGGCAGTTCTAGCACTCGCCTGTTACGGCACAGCGAGGAAAAACGAAAATCTGATCCGAAATAGGTTCAGTCGCTCTAGACATAACGCTGGACAGATGACCGTCAACTAATTAATCATTACAAAGTTTTATCGATGTGACGGAAAAAGCATTAAAATTCGCAAAAAAGGGGAAAGGAGGGGAGGGGTCAAAATGTCACCGCTGACAATAAAGAAACAGTATGAAAAATAAGAAATAAATTAAAATAAGGGAATAATATCAAGCAAATAAAAAATAGGCAAGTTGTATTAATTAATTTAAACAGTTTCTACTCTGCCCACCATAGATTGACGTCACGCAGACCTGTTCGCACTGGAGCAGAGATGGGCAGAGGCGTTGAACGGAGTGAGGAGACAGACGGACACACAGTGGTGGACGGGCGGGTCGGTGAAGTGATCACATTGGTTTCAAGGAGTGACCAACGATCCAAATAAAGCGAGATTGTGAATCCAATTTGATGACTTCTGGGGAAGCGAAATTAATTACATCGCTCGCCTCGCGACATTTTTGGTTACAAGTAAGACTCGTTTTGAGTCATTTTCGAAAACGTCGCTCGTTTATAGAGTCGTTTTTGCGTCATTTCCGGTTACGTAGAAGACTCATGTGTGTGTGTGACTGGTATACGTCTCCTTCTTCTCTTTCAAAACAAAAAGAAAAAAGTAGAGGAAAGTCTGGTGACATTCGGAAACGCTGTAGTGAAAATAAGTATTCAAAACCAGGCCAGCCCAAACAGCTTGGCTTATTTCAGCTCAAGATGCGGTTCAACCAAACCCTACGACCTAGAGCCCCCGCAAAAGGAAAAACTTACCGAAACTCCACTTTTCCGGAAATTACGGTGCAACACGCAGTACTGTAAGTTACGGTGCTACGAGATAATCTGCTGTTAATATACAGTAATATTTACTGACAAGTTCACACTAAATTGTACGTAAGTATTTTATACGCAGCTTACAAAACATTCTGCACTTGCTCTTCTTGCTTATTTTTTAATAATACGCATTAATGAACAAACTGTTCATACTTGCATAAAATAATATGTCCATAACTGAATATTTTTAAATAAGCGACAAAAGCTGGTGTCGATTTTTGCTGGCTGCGTATAATAAAGTTCGCGACTGTTTCTCTCTTAACACTCACTTAACACCGTAAACCCAAGTGTGTACATAGGACACTCTTCCTTGTGTGTACTTGAAGGCACACACAAGGAAGTGTGTACATGCCTGGCACACACAAGGAAGTGTGTACATGCCTGGCACACAC